CAAAAGAGTAGATGGCAAATGACAAACTTGAACTAGAAATTTCTTTGGATTCTTGAGTCTGTATCTTAGCAGTTTAGGAATACTTTATTGGAAAAATTTAGAGAGTAGGATTGTTGCAGCATTCTCATCCTTGGCCAAACTAATTGATTTTTTTTTTTTTAAATTAATTTGGGGAAGAGGTTCTAGGTTAGATGATTTGTTTCCATTGTATGTAATGGTCTTTCAAATTTGAAATTCTTGCTCATTTTTCTTGGGTTGATGGACTCAAATCTTGTTATTTGGAAATTAATGGTCCATCTCTGCCCATAGTATTTCTTTGGAGAAGGTGCAAACTAAAGTTTTTACGTGATCCTAACCAATGGCATGTATCTGTTATCAGTCATATTTGTGCTGAAACATTTTTTAATTATTCTCATGAGTTTTTCCTCTATAATCTTGAACGTCATTGTCGTAAAATTGAAAGTTGGCCTCTGTCTGATTTTTGTGTCGGCTGGAAATAAATTTCCCTTTGTAATTTGGTATAATATCGTCTTTTACAGGTAGATGATAAGTTAAATTTTGTAGTTATACAGATGGTTAAGCCAGTGGAAGATGATGCTGAACTCCGTGAAATTGAAACAAATAATAATGTGATTAAAGTGCTTTGTTTTACAATTAGTACATTATGTGTACTATTGCTAAAGATTCGAGAAGAAAAAAAATTATGATCCTCAACGGAATATACAACGTGACACATATCTTTCTAGGTTGTATAATGGATGTGATTCGGACTGTGTTGACATGGTACGCATGAGGCGAGCGCCTTTTTTTCAAATTATGTGATTTAATGCGTACACGAGGATTGTTGTTAGACACAATAAATGTTCGGATCGAGGAACAAGTTGCAATGCTATTACATACACTCGGGCATAGTATTCGTAATCGAGTAATCTGATTTAACTTTCATCGCTCCGGTGAAACTGTTAGTAGGTACTTCAATGCTGCATTACATGCTGTTGGGGAGTTACGTAATGAATTTATCAAGCCTCCACCACCTGAAACTCCATATAAGATTAAATCAAGTAATAGGTTCATGCTCTTTTTCAAGGTATAATCTGTTTTTATTCAATTAAATTTTCTATATGTTTTACGTAATCCTAATTATATTTTTTGTCAAATTTAGGATTGTATTGGCGCGATAGATGGAACTCATATTAAAGCTAGGGTTCCAAAAGAGAACGAAGTCGCGTTTAGAGGAAGGAAACCATACCCAACACAAAATGTTTTAGTAGCAGTAGATTTTGATTTAAGAATCACATACGTGCTTGCTGGTTGGGAAGGTTCTGCTCATGACGCAGCAATACTTAAAAATGCATTAGAAAGATCAGATGGTTTACGTGTCCCAACAGGTAAATATTATCTAGCTGATGGTGGATATTCCACACGAAATGGTTTTATTTCACCATATCGTGCCACAAGATATCACTTGAAGGAGTTCAGTTCTATTCAACCTAGAAATTCAAAGGAGCTTTTTAATCTACGACATTCCTCTTTACGCACTACTGTTGAGCGTGCATTTGGTTCCTTGAAAAACCGTTTCACAATTATAAAATCTGATCCCTACTTTCCTCTACAAACTCAAGTTGAAATTGTGATTGTCTGTTGCATACTACATAATTGGATAATTAAAGAAGGTGGCGATGAGTTAATTCAATCCGAGGATGAATGGGCTAGAACGAGTCAATATAGAAGAAGAGATCAAGCAGCTGTAGATGATTCGCGAGAATGGTTAGATAAAAGAGATGAAATTGCTCAATTCATGTGGACTCGCATGCAAAATGATGGATATTAGATTTGCTTATTAACTTTTTTTTTAAATTTACATGTGACTTTTATCTTTCTTGTCATTGATTACATAATGATGTGCTTATTATTATTTGTTATTGTTTGATTCTTTTGTGAACTACTAAGTTATAGTTTCGTTAATGCTTGTTATGCCAAATAAACATATATTGTCATTCATATTTTATGTAAGGGAAGAATGAATTAGTCACAAACAGAGATGAACAGTAATTCGAAAGCAAAGAGGAAAAATTTCTTATGGAGCTTAAAACCTGAATGGATAACTGGATTGCTTCAAATAATGATGGAATTTGTAAATGCAAATATGCGAAGTGCACAAGGATTCAAGGACTCTGTTTATCAAGGTGCAGCCCAAAAAATGAAAGAGAAGTTTGGAATAGAGGTGACAACTGAGCAATGCAAGAACCAAATAAGGCATCAAAGAAGTGTGTGGAATCACATTCAGGAGTTAAAAAAAAAAATCAGGTGTATCTTGGGATGAAACAAAAAAAATGATTGTCATGGGTCAAAATGAATATGCATCACATATTCAGGTATTATTTCAATCACATCATTTAAATTGATATTTTTTTCGGTTAACAGTTTTTTCTTTATTTCTTACAGGTTTATCCCAAGGATGCAGCTTATTTAAATATTGCAATTGCAAATTATATAGAGTTGGAGATAGTATGTGGTATTGGACATGCAACTGGAGAGTGGGCGAAATCTGGAAATTCTCAAAATCCACTTGGAACTCAACAAATACATTTAAGCGATGATGAATCCCCACAATTTATGGATGTTGGTGCTAATGGAGCAATGGATACTGAGTGGTCTGAGATGCAAGTGATAGAGAATTATACTGGAACAACAAAGAAACCTCTACCTTCATCTGGTATAGGAGGCGGCGTGAAAAGGAAGTCTAAAAAATCAACTATCGATCAAAATATTCGTGAGTATATTTGTTTGATAGCAGATAGTGTGAATGAAGTTGCTAACGCAATGAAGAGCTCAACAACATCTCCAAAACAAATTTGGAGTATGTATAATGAACTGATGTTTGAGTTAACAAATATTCCTGGCTTCTCAGCATAAGAGGTTGATACGATATATGATAATTTATCAAAAAATCCCACGCTGATACCATCTTTCCTTTCAAAACCTACAGATTCGAAGGCTAGATGGATGCATAAAGAGTTAGGAAAATGATTGAATTTGTTGAAGATTTGCATATCAATTAAAATTGTTATAACTACAAACTTTTTCGTGTTATTTTGTTCTATTTATAACTACAAACAATGGGTTTTTTTTTTTTTCTTGTAAGTTTTTATTAATGTTGTTTACATGTTATGAATGAAAACTATGTGATTTATTGATTGGATCAGTGTCTCTATGTTTTCATGTGCTGTTCTCGCAGAGAATCCTGGGCATGTCAATTAGCAATTGTAGTAGCAATGTATTCAAATCTTTTCTTAAGCTCGTTGTGTTCTTTTGGTAGAATATTTGTGGTCATTTGATGGATTCAACTGCTTGGGAATTGTTGGACATGGAAAGTAAGGATTTGCATGATATAGTACGGCCATTACCTAATGTTTGGGCTGCAGAAATTCATTGGTATTCTTCTATTACAATGCCTACCTTTATATTAATTCGCAGATTTAAAAATATAATGATTTTATTTTATACCAGTTTTATCTCATGAGTTTTTGTTCTGTTGTTTGATGATTACTTGTTTTTATCTACATATTGAGCTCATTGGATTCATCTAATTGAAAATTCCTGTAATTGGTCTGATATCATCTTTAAATTTTATTAAACTTTATATAATCTGGTTTTATAATTTGTTATATAAGGCACAAATGTTGCTTGCATTGTAGTGATGTGATATTTGTATCATGAGGTTTATGGCTAAGAATTGGCTGCAATCCATCTGGACCAAATTATTTGTTTATGATAGCAGGACTTATAATTTCCTTAACTGAAATACTGAAATACTGTAATAGAGTTGGTGCATTTGTTTATCCAGGTAGCAGCACTACTGAGCTGAGTTTTTTAAACGAATCTCTCAAAGAATTACTTGATGGCATTCAGGTAATACTTCTGTATCTAAAATGAACTAATTTGGTCCAGGTGAAGATTTTAGGTCAGAATCTGATGACATTGAGAGGCATAGTAAAATAGAATCGGACTGGGAAAGTGAGAATTTGGTCCTGATTAATTCTTTTAATCAGGCAATCATTCTTCAAGGATCCTTCGATTCTGATCGGTTCCAGAGCCAAGGTTATGATAATACAGCTTTGGATGCCTCCGTTGGAGATTACTTCATTGGATCACGACTGTATTTGCTTTTGCAGCATTTGGCAGAGGATGGTCTATGTAATATGAACAGTTATGTGCTGTTGTTTACTGTCAATCCCTAGTTATGTTTCATAAATGAGGTGTATGTAATCACATGCGAGAGGGATACATTCAAGCAGCAGATGGTCCCTCTTTGGCTTCAATTTATGAGATTTTTCGTTTTTAGTTCCTTACTAGCTCTACCAAATATTTAATTTTGAAAAACTGATATCATGTATATGTTATTTCCTGTTTAGTGCATATTAGGTGTATTTCCTTTCATTGTTATGCCTTTAACTTTATCAGATTTTAGAACTGAATAAGATGTGTTAGTTTCTTATATCTTTTAAAGGTTTTTTAGTTAATTTTTGTACTAAAAAGCTGTTTTAGAAAGCAAGAAGAAAGCTAGCCCAAACAAAGTTTAAACAATCGGTGATTACTTTTATAAATGCACTAGTAATAATGACAAAAAATATTACAAATGCACTGTTATTACTTTACTTTGGATATATCTAACCAAACAAGGGAAACATTTCTCCAGCGTTTACTTTACAGACAACCAAACAACCTCAAAGTATTTGGAATGCACTGCATTTACTTTACACTGCATTTACTTTACATTGCGTTTGCTTTGCAGGCAACCAAACAGCCCCGAAATCAATCTTCGGAAACATCAGGACATGATTCAAAGCAAACTCAACCTTCATCAGGAGATGAATTCTTTCAACCGGAGGAGAATTGATGTAGGCAAAGGGGGGGTCAAAACATTTTGAATTATAAATTTGGTGAGCTTCTAGGTCCTCTACTAGAATCAGCTCATTAATGTCTAGTAGATAGTCTTTTTAACTCATAAATTGAGGTTCATTCCCCCCATTTATTGTCCCTTTGGTTCCTGTGGATGGCTCCTTGGTTCCCGTGGATGGCCCTTTGGCTTTCCGTGCTTGGTCTCCTTGGTTTCCCTGGTTGGCTGCTAGTTTTCCGTGCTGGGTGGCCTTTCCCGTGCCTTGATGCTTCAGTTCCATGCGGGCCTCCTTGGCTTTTGCGGCTGCCTCTTCGGGTTCAGCCTGGGCTGTTTTCCCATGACCTTTTGGGGGCTTTCCGTGGCTTTGGTGCTTCGTTTCCTGGAGTTGATTGTTGGTTTTTCATATTCCCTATTTAAATAAGCTTAAATTAATGTTTTGGGATTGTTTGTATTCCCATCTTGTCTATAAATAGTAGATGTTTTGTGGCTGTTTTAGAATGTTATATGAATGATTTTTGGAAATGTAAACCTATGAGGTTTTATTGGAAAATCTTGCGAGCTTGTTCCATTCTCCTTCTCATCTCCTCTAGGAAAGACTTGCGAGTTCTTTCCACCATTCGTCTTGACTTCTAACCTCTTTCGTCTCTCCACAAGTACCACCTCACCTGTATCCTTCTTCTAATGGATTAAAGCTTCTTTAGGTGTTTGTTTTGAAGTCATAAATTTGTCAAACGTTTGTAAGCATCAAAGTTTGTAAGAGTCCTTGTTTGTAAGTCCTTTTATAATATTAAAGTTGTGTTTTGATTTGTTAGTTATATTTTGTCAAGTTTTTGAGTATTTTATGTCTTTCTATCATCCTAGAAAGAGTTTGTTTTTGTGATCAAAAATTTGGGCCCCTCCCCAAATTTTTGATTGCATTTATAATCGTAGCAGATGCTAAATTATTCTCTCATAATTTCAATGTATCACACATTAATTTAATTCCTCTATAATTCACACACTCACATGCATCACCTTTAATCCTTAAAAATAAGAACCAGCACACTCCTCCACTCATCTGGCATATTTATAGTCTTCAAAATAATAATAAAAAATTTAGTAAGCTAAGAAATTTATTGATCTCCTTAGCACTTTCACGCTTTTATTATAATATCATTAGGTCATATTATTTTTCCACCCTTTTATTTTCTTTAAAACCTCTTCAATTTTAGTTTACTAATTCGACAATAAGAATAAAAATCTCTATTTTTATTTAGGGTGCTAAGATCACTAAAGTTAAACATATTCTCACAATCTTTATTTAAAATTTATCAAAATATCTCATCTACCTATATTAGATATCCGCTTCTAAGAAAATCACTTTGATCCTCATCTTTAATGTACTTCACTTGAACAAAATTTTAACTTCTCATATCTCTTTGCTTGACTAACTTATACATACATCTTCCGCTCTCCTTAGCATCTAATCTATTAAATAAATCATACAAAAATAAAAAGATTTTTTTAGCTAATATACTAGTTCCTAAATAATAAAGATGGATGGACGCAAGACAAGTTCAGGTTAGCATTCACACTCACTGTCTCCAGCTCAAATTTCATAATGTTCATTTTGTTTCCATGCAGCAGATGAAGGACCAACCCCACTTTAAATTTTTTTCTGAAGGCATTGTTAATTTGCTACGTAAGAAAACTACAATCAAGTTGTAACGTGCATTATTAAGAAAATGAGGGACTTGCACACTTGGGGACAACAAAGATCCAAAAAAATCGTATCCAAGAAAATTAAAATTTTTATTGACTTTTAAGCTTATATAATAGACTTGGAATAATCACATGGTTTGAACATTCTCATTGGGCAAGATTTGGGTCAGTGAAATTTTAACCCATCGTCATGTTCAGCGCATTAATCAAACTGATCTAAAGCACATTCAACCAATGCATATAGGCCCAAAGCCACTTTAATTGGGTCTTGTCTAGGGAATAGACCCATTCTCAAAGCCTGCCCTAGGAAACTTAGGCAGCATGGATATACCCATCTCAAGATAAACAAGTATGCAAGAAAACATCATCAATAGAAACATAAAATTAGCATTATCACAACTATTTAGGGTCTGCTAAATAAATATAGCAGAAGAAAAGGGAGAGAGCAGGAGACATACTCTATAGCCATAGTATTTTCTATAGTTCCCATAAACGAAAACCTCTTTCCGCTTCCTAAGATTCACATTATTTTTATCTCGTTTCTCAGTAGCCATATCTTTTTTCCCTTCCACTTTCATTAGCATAACCCTGAACAAAATGTAGCAAAAGAAAATAAGGTAAAAAAATTATAAAAAAATACAACCACCATAAAAGGCCATACCTCTAGTTCGAAAGACATAAAAAAAGATGCTGACAATAAAAATTGAAAACAACAGGATAGGATCAGCGATTTAAAAATTAAAGAATGGAACTACATTAAACAGAAAATTGAAAAAATTAATCATTGTAAATCTAAAGGAAAACGGCTGGTATTTATGTTTTCCATACAACATAGATGATACCATGGTCTTCACTCTGATAATTAGCTTTCATAACGTGCAGATAAGATTAGAAGAATTCTTTTGTCCTTTCAGAAATCAAAAGTACAACAAATTAGATTTCCAAACAATACCATGACGCAGAGCCGAGTATCAAAAATCCAAATACATAGAAAATTATTGTAATGGCTTTGATACAATTACTTCGGAAGAAACCACAAAATGTGTTTGGACACTCAGCTGCACTTGCCTGATCAAGTTATGTAAGCATGCCAATAATTAGCAAAGCCCGCATTAACTTAAGCTAACCTAAGAGAACAAAATCTATGTAGACAGCTTTTAGCATGGTCCAAAACACATAATCGACCTAACAGACTATCTACTTCAATAGTATGTTCATTAATCGTCAGCTCTCCCTTCATGCCAACGCACTTGCCTATCCAACTTTAAATTATCAGAGAGGCAGAACACAATCAGTTAACCATAACTAAGAAAAAAAAAGTAGGAATGACCATCAACTTCACATGCTTAATGGCCAAACTTACCAACATTTGTGAATGATCATTTCTTCCCATCAAAAGCAATCAAATGGCCACTGATCAAGAAACATGTAAGCAGCCAACTGCAGTTTAATGGGAATGATTCATCTTTTTGAGGAAAAATGCAGCCATGCATTAAACTAAGGAAAAACAGGAAAGTTATTACAAACTAAGTAAAATCATCTAGTAAATTGAAATCATCCTTCAAAATGTACAAGAATGAAGGAGGAATTTCAGTACTAGAAAGATCATGCCAAATAAAACTTTTCCCCAAAGCATAATTAGCACAACAATCCACTAATTTGTTACCATTCCTAGTAGTAAAACTGAAAGTAATTTGATTAAACTCACTTACAAAGGATAGGTCATATTCCAGAAAACCTTTATTCTTGAATCTTTTCAAAGCTTGTTGAAGTCTCTTGATTATATTGAAGTTATCTCCTTCTATGATGACTCCTTGAGCTTCAACCATCCACTCTTGTAAGAAATTCTTTAACATATAAACCGCTTGAAGTTCCAAATGACCAATATCCCAATGAACATGTTGAGTACCAAAAGCTAGTAACAATCTTCCCTTATCATCTCTACAAACACCAGCCGTACCAGCCAAATAATTGCTACACATAGCTGCATCCACATTGATTTTTACCCATCCGGGAGGAGGAGGACGCCAAGAAGAAAACAGCTTTTGCTGGTTGACATCCCAGTTTTCCGAATGGATATTGATAGAAGGTACAACAACAGCCATAGAAAGAGAGTTTGCTGCAATGAAAAAATCTATTTCTTCTCTCCCTTCATGAATTAACAGATTTCTACTTTTCCAAGTCATAAATACCACATTGCAGTAAATGTTTACAAGGACTGGATTTCTTTTATACAGCAAATGTAATTCCTTTAAACAATCTTCAAAACTAACAGGTTGAGTAAGTATATATCCCCACTTAGAAAGCCACAAAAGAACCTTCTTCAATTTACCGCATCCTGCTGTAATATGATCTGAATTTTCCTCTACATTGCATCCTCTCGGGCATCCTGAAAACTGTGAAATTTTTCTATGAAAAAGGAAAGAATTGCTAGGAATAGCTGCATTAAGAAGCCTCCACCAAAATAATTCAACTTTTGGTCTTAATTTGACAAACTTCATCCACTTCCAGAATTTGCAATCCTCATCATACCTCTGAATTGACTCTTGCGAGAGTGCAGCAATGGACTGCCCCGTATGTTTCCACTTTATTTCAATTTGATCTATTCCTTGATCCGGAAAGATAGGAACGTTTATAATAATTTTCATGAGGTCTTCATTAGAAAACATCCTGAGATGATCCAAAATCCAGTTACCATTGGAAATGAAGAAGTTAAGATTTTGATTTTCAATCTCATTATTACTAACAAATGTTGTTCATTTAGAAAAATTTTTATCCAACAGTCATGTATCATTCAACCAATCAATAGACTTTCCATTACAAATTTTCCATTTAACTATATTAGTAAGATATTTTGCTCCATTACACAAAATCCTCCATGTTGAAGAACTCCCAGTCTTCTTTTGCTTCTCCCATAATCCTCTCCATATTTGGCTCTGAGAATACAATTGAGCAAGGATTCTTGTTTAGTGTAGAATTCCAAAGCAAATTTGGCCTTTAGGTGACCAACTTTACAAGCAGCCAAAAAAGTCCTCTACCTCCCTTTTGCTAAGGAAGGCAAAGCCTCTTGCAAAAACATAATGAAGCCCTCCTATGCCATTTTTCTTACTCCACAAAAAAGATCTACACATTCTATCAAAACCTTTTAAGATGCCCAAAGGCACCAAAGAAAGGGTTGATAGGAAAATTGGAAGAGATAAGAATGCATATTTGATCAACACCATTTTTCCTTCCAAGGAAATAAATTTCTTTCCCCAAATGTTTAGTCTATTTGAAGCAACTTCCAACACATTATTAAAATCTGATTTCACCAACCTTCTAAGAGTAAGCTTGATACCAAGGTAGTTCAATTCCTTAACAGATTTGAATTTTAAAATGTCTTCAATTTCAACCCTTCTTTTCCTATTAACCGTCTTACCATACAACACCATGGATTTGTTGTGATTTACCCTTTGTCCCGTCCAATTGCCATAATTGTTCAAAATATCTTTCACCTTCTTGATCTTAAGTAAATTGGCTTCAGAAAAAACTAGAATGTCGTCGGCATATAATAAATGAAAAACTCTAGGAGCTTTGGAGACAATTTGGATACCAACATTCTTCCCACTATGATAAAATGCATCAGAAAGAATTTGAGAGCATAATATGAAAAGAAAAGGAGATAAGGGACATCCTTGTCTAAACCCACTCTTAGCTTCAATCCAATTGGATTTCTTCCCGTTGATAAGAATGGAAATATTCGGATTTGAAATACAATTCAAAATCCAATCAGAAAACTTGCGAGGAAAATTAAAATGGATAAGAACTTGCCTCAAAGCTTGCCAACCCATGCTATCATAAGCCTGCTCCATATCTACTTTGATTGCTATAAATCCTTTCTTTGCTTTGGAACGACGGATTTTGTTGATCACCTCTTGAGCCAAGAGAACGTGATCCGACATAGATCTTCCTTTTAGAAAAGCCACTTGATCTCTAGAAATAATTTTGTGAATAACCAACTCCAATCTATTAAGTAACATTCTAGCTACCAATTTATAAGTAGTTATACATAAACTTATTGGACGGAAGTTAGCTGGATACATAGGATTTTGCAATTTGGGAATCAAAACAATAAGAGTTGCCTTCCAAAATTGATTCATACATCTTGTCTTGAAGAAATTTTCAATAGCATTCCATACATCTTGATGAATGATCTTCCAATAGATTTTAATAAATGAAAAAGTAATCCCATCAATTCCAGGAGCTACAATAGACCGCAAGATGTCAACTACCACCTGAAGCTCTTCTTTAGTGAAATTAGAATCCAATTTCCTCTGATCATTAGTATCCAGCATATTAAAAGGTCTCGGCCAGCCTTCTAGCCGGCAATCTCTGTGTTGCCATTTCTGATTGAAAAAATTTGTGAAAACAGATTCAATTTCCTCAGGCTGCTCCGTCAAAACACCATCAGTATTTTTTATTTGTTTAATCCAATTCGAACATCTTCTAGCATTAGCTTAGGAGTGAAACAAAGCAGAATTTGCATCTCCCTCCTCCAACCACCTCACTTTGGCTCTTTGCCTCCACCAAACATTAAGCCTTGCTAAAGTACAATTCAGCCCGTTGATTTTGGATCTGAGAATCAACAATTTAGATTCATCAAGAAATCCATCATCCTCTTCCACTTGAAGATCAAAGATTTCTTTTTTCAAAGTGTCACTCAGAGAATTCAAGCATTTGAACTTAGCCTTGCTCCAATAAAAAAGAGCCTTCAATGTTCTTTTAAACTTCAGGTCTAAAGAAGAGGTTGGATCACCTCCTCCAACCTTCTTCCAAGATTTTTCCACAATAGCAGTCGCTCCATGGTAAGACGCCCAAACATCTTCAAAACGTGTGTCCTTGTGAGTAGCAATGATCGGTTTGAAAATCTCCAAGATGATAGGACAATGATCAGATGCTACATGTGATAAGTGTTTCACCAAGGCTAATTGGATAGAATTCATAGCCAAATAATTCAAAAGACATCTGTCAAGTCTTTCTAGAATGCGACCTCCACCTGATTTATTGTTGCACCATGTAAATTTTGGTCCAACAAACCCAACTTCATGAAAGTCATTATTACTCATAAACCACTTCATATCTCTAGCACCTTGCGAGAAAAAAATTTCTTACCTCCTCTCTTCTCCTCTTGTGACAAAATGCAATTGAAGTCTCCCCCAATGACAGCCGGTATATTATCATCGTTTAGCTTCTCCAATTTTTCCCACAAAGCTTTCCTGTCCACCGAATTCCTGCTTCCATAAATAGTGGAGACCAACCAGCAATTCTTGTTCAAAACCTCCAGTTTTCCTGTTACAACTTGAGATGAAACCTCCAAAACATTAAACGTAGCTAAGTCCGTCCTCCAAAGAACTATGATTCCTCCCGAAAGTCCCTCAGCAAGAGCCAGAAACGATTCCCAATTCTCACCCAAATAATGCAAAATCTGTAATTTCTCCATGGAACTAATTTTAGTTTCAACTAAACCCACAAAAAAAAACATTATTATCTCTAACATATTCCTTGAGATAAAGAGCATCCTCTCTCTTCTTGGCTCCTCTACAATTCCAAAAAGCAAGAGAATTCATTATTTAACCAAGGGGGAAGGACCCCCACCTTTTTTGGCTTTGCCCATTTCCATCTTCCTGTTATGGTTAACAATGTTACCTGAACCCAAAGATTTCAACTCTTTCAACAGTTTCACTTTTTTGCCCGAAGACAAATCAATATCTTTCACCTCCTGGGATTCAGAAATACAAACATTTTTATTGACGTCTTGCGGCTTTTGATTAGTCAGGATTATGTCCAGCTCCACAATTTCTCCATTTTCCACAACTTTACCCTCTGAGTCAATAGCACATCCCTTCAGAATACTATCTTCCGGATCTGATAAAACAGCAAACCTGTTAGTATTAATGAGTGGTGGTTTAGGAGACACCACCTGAGGTAACACAGGTGGATTGGCAACCAAAACTTCTTTATTCAAATCATCAACATGATGTTCCTGCACCTCCTTACTAAACAAATCATTTACCATATTAGGGACAACTTCCATGTCAGCCACATGTACAGCTTTCTCTGCCTCCTTAATGAATTGTTTAGGAACATAAACTTTCTTAGTGGTATTTTTCTGCTTTTAGACAACCTCATTTCTTCTCCCCTTTCTTTTGTAATTAACTTGAAGCCATGGTCCATAATCTTCTGCAGCTTGCTTTACCACCTCTGATTCTACCAAATTGTTCGGAATACTTTCTGATGTAACAGCTTCCTTGTTGATCTTCACTTTATTGTTCACGGAATCTTTGCAAACCGAAGCAGTATGTCCCATCCTTCCACATTCATAACACAATTTTTCAATGCCTTCATATTCAAATTTTTGGTAGAATCTACCAGATAATGCGTTCGAGCTAATAGAATGACCTTTCTCTAAATTCCCTCTTCGTTTGTTTTTGGTCGCTCCATCACTCACTCCGCTATAAGAATCTTGAAGGCAACTCTTGGATGTGGGTCTATCCGAGCCTCTTGGAGAGCTAAGCCCCCGCCCCGGATTTTTTGCTAGAATACTGACTTTTCTAGAGCACCTTCTACCCAAACTCCCAAGGGTAGTTTTTCATTTAAAGAAATTCGTACACAAATTCTAGCAAATTCGCGCCTTCCCCATTGAAAAGAATTTCCATCTAGTAAGTAAGGCTTACCTACTACTAAAGCAATTCTGCAGATTTTAATATCATTCAAACTATGAAATGGTAAATTTGGTAATCTCATCCAAATAGGTGCTGAAATACCATTCAAAGAGGATGGGGAAAATGATGTGGACCATTTATCCAAGCCCACCACACGGCCTTTCACATACCATGGTCCTCCTAATAAAACTTCTTCCATAGATCCAGGATTTTCAAAAGAACAGAGCACCCAACCAGTGCCTAAACCAGTGATATGAAAATTGCCAAATCTACTCCATTGTCTCCTCAAGTCATTGCGCACAGTTGAGAAAAAAATATTGTCCCCAAAAACCTTCACCACCAATGCATTTTTCATCTTAAACGCATTATTAATTTCATTCTCAGAATGTAACATAACCGAATTACCATCTTTAGAAAGAAATGACCCAATATCCATATTATCCACTATGATATTTTGTTTTCTCTTCCAAACCGAGGAAACGTCTGTTTTCCCTTCCGAGGGAATGCTGATGTCCTCCACATTATTCTTCTTTTTTTCCACATTGGTCGAGACCAGAAGAGGAAATTCAACATTCACATTGTCATCATGAGACTTATCACCTTCAGAAATCAATTTCTTCCCAGAATTGCACATAATTGGAGATGACGGAAGGGAAAAATATTTAAATCCCACATTAGAATTTACCTTCCCCGCTGACGAGGAAGCTTCAAGATTAAGAATATTAATATCTTCATTGCAAAAATTAGAAGAAAGAGTCTTTCTTGGGCTCAGAAAATCATCATCTTTCAAAGCTTCTTTACCTTTTCCCAAAATAATCGGTTTAACAACTTTGTTCAGCAAACCACCTTCCCTGATCACCAATGGTCTCTGTTTAGGAAGGCTGTTGAACCCTGTAGAAGAAAGCTGACTTCCCTTGAAAACTTCCGAAGAAGCCGACACCGGAGCATTGAAACCTCTTCTGATGTTCG